GCAGCAGATTGACCTCTTCAGTTCAGGGTATAACCTGCATGAATATCGAGGGACAAAGAAGTCTAGATGCCTTTTCAATCTAAATAGTATCAGCCAGGATCTGGTCATGTCCATGACAAGTCCATTGCATGTCTTGTCACAAGAAATGAGTTAGTTGAAGAGCTACTCAAGAACAAGTTGGTGCACTTCATCTGAAAAGCTTGGGACTCCATTTGTGACTGGGTACTTTTAGATGGATTTGCCAACATCAGCAGGGTATTTCAGCATTGATTCACACGACCATTATAAAGGAACCAACTTCCACCATATACTCATAGTAAAATCTTTCCTTTTTTTTTTTTTTTAGAAAAGCCCAACTTGACCTATCTGGGAGACTTGTCATTATGGAAAGTCCAGACCAGTATTAACCATGTTAATACAAACCTTGAACAAAAATAGTTTGGGCCTGTTTAAGATCTCATTACAAAAACCAATCTCATAGCTCAACACTTGAGTATTCAAAGGCTGAGTTCAGGCAGCTTGTTCTTGATGTTCAAGAACAGCTCAATTTGTTGTTCATAGGTGGGGTGCTCATATGCCAGGAACGGACAACTGTTTATCACTGGAAGTGGCAAGCAAAAAGCTATGTACATTCTTCAAGGCTTATTGTTTGGAACTGGGCTGAATTCTCTTCTATTTAACAAAAACATTTATTTCTGTGTTATGGGAAATTATTAATGTTAAGTTTGCAAAATGTCCAATTGTCGCTGGCTTTGTAGCCATCTCGCTATTTTTCGCGGCTGTTCAAAAATCAAATCCCGCAAGTTTTCCCTGTGTTCCTGGTAAAGCCCTGACGAGGTGCTGTGTGATCCTGTTCCGAGAACATTGCTCTTGGGTCATGTTCCTGCTGTTTGAGCTCAAGAACAAGAAACTCGTGTCAAGAACAGCCTGCATACACTCAACCTTAGAGTACCAATTAAGGTGTGATGTCATTTAGAACTCGTAAATGCTATATTTTACAAACAAATGGAGTACGCGTAGTCCTACAGTACTTAAACAGTTGACAAAAAGGAGGACACGTAGAACGACGTGCATCATAGCTATATAAAAACATCACATTCAGAATGAAGAGACATAACATGGGAAGTTGAAATCTGAACCACAGAAAAATTGATAGAATAAATTACAAATATTTAGGATATGCATATGATGGACTGGCCCCCTATCTGGGGCTAATGATTCATGTGCCATGTCGCACAGATCTACCAAGTCGACCATGTATTAACAACTGTGAACACATGGTAATCATGGTAATTGTGAACTGACATGACTGAGGTAGGAAAACATTGCACTCTTGTGCTGTTTAACATCAAATGGCAGGACTACCCCTACTTGCCCTAGAATTTATGAAGGCCCAACTCTGGAACAGTTAGATCATGCGGCTCGTCTCTTCGCTCTGATCAGATCTGCCCCGTTCATTGTTGGCATGCGATGGTGCCAGGGCACCTCACCTGTCATGCCTGTACATCTCTACACGACAATTGACATCAATCATCGAGTAGGCCCCTATGCTAATCGTAGGTCAGCTAGCTGGACACAGGTCAACTCGTACCATATGACAACTCTGACGTACCATCAACTCAACATAACTGTACATGTACCAACGTACCTTTAGGCTTTACCGAGTCGCACCTTTGACAACTCGTACACATGTACCTCCAGTAAAGACAACCTTCACAGAAATCAGAGCTAATTGCTCAGAGCATATTATTGTTGTAATTAACTTGAAGAATAATTTGATTTTTAATCATGTGTTTGTTACCTAATTTGCCGTTTTGGCTACTGCGTCGACGTCGTGCATCATGTGCGCGCGCGGTCAGCCAACTGGCACTGTGCAGAAAATCATGCTGCATGCTGGGGCTCGAGATCTCTCTGGGAGATTTATGAAGATTTTCCCTTGATACATGTATGTTTGTCAAATCTGATCTTAAACATGCTAAAAAGGAAGAGCAAGAGAGTTACAACCAAATCGTCAAACATGAAGGTACGAGTGGTCTAAACTTGAGGTACAAGTTGCCCATGGTACGAGTCATCTGAAGTAGGCCTACGAGTCAGCCAACGTACGAGTAGCCCAAGCTACGAATTACAGACAGCTGTGCCTGGGCGATCGGATAAAGCTCGATATATCGGCGCGCAGGAAATCTTGTGGAAACATGCTCTCTTCAAGTACGACCAAAACAACCTAAATTAAACTGATGAACACAGAAAATACACACATAGACAAGATACTAAGAATTAACGTGAAGAAATTTAGCAACATTGATGTTTTTTCAATGCGTGATCACGTACCAGTTGCCGCGGCATGAATAGACTGGTTATCACACTCCATAACGCATTCTCTAACGTGTGCGGCGCGGCGGGAACCAGCGCTTTGGGCACGTGTTTTTACCACAGCGACAACGAAAAACACGAAACAAAGTGAATTTCTAACTTGCAAATAAAACTCGCTGAAAAAATTGGGTGCGGTCAGGAAATCGGAAGTATTGTTTTAACCTCTGCAGGTTGGATTCTCTGATCGTTATTTGGGTACTCAAACGTCGATATTTTTACTCGTTACATCTAGGCCTATGCCTCAGTTATACTGAAAGAATAATAATCGATGGGGGAATGGATGATGGGGGCGAAGTGACCAACACCCTTTGTAAATGTCAGTTGAAACTTGTCCAGAAAAAGGAAAAATTTAATAAGGAAGGCTACCACCCCCCAAAAAATTAGAGAAGAAAACCAGAAATATTTCGAAAAGGAGACCTAACAAGTTTCATTAATTACACCCCCAAAAATACTAACCAAAGCCATCATTCCCCTACAAAATGAAAAAAGTCCAACAATGTTTTCCAAGAGCCCTAAGAATAAATTGAAGTCTACAACGACAGTTGGCAGCTCATCAGTGCTGGCATCCAAGAGCAGATCGGGGGAGATGCCCCCCTGAGCCATTTTTTTAGGTGTTAATGTTCTTGACAAATCAGAAAGGCGATATTCGTCACCCCCAAAGCGTATAAAGAGCCCTCAAATGTAGCTTCAATCCTCAGAAAGGTCATAAATGATGACAGACTATGCCGCCCCCTCCCCGTGAAATGATTCTAGGTCTGCCCTGACACGTTCTGCAAATGGTTTACCCTCGAACTTGAAGATTTGAATATCAGAGCATAGAGCTAGGAACACATAGAGGCTGACCCATACGGTGCGTTCCTTCCAAACATTCCAATAAGAAATGATTGGAAACTTCGCTTGAGAGATCTATCCAGTGGTGAGGGTGCTTCTCTGGTGTCATCCCTAGAGCTGTGTCTTGGGAAAATTGCGACATGAGTGTCTCAATTGTTGGAGCCAAAATGGTGAGTTGTGCGTCAGTGAACATGAACAATCAGTACACAATAGCTGCATGCAGCAGCCACTTTGGTTCCAAAGTCTGAAGTTAGCGCTACTCTCTCTCAACAGTCCAACACAGATAAGAGGCGCACTGTTAATACAAGGTCATATTTACAAAGACAATTTTAGGCCTCGATTCTTTGTTCTTCCATTACTGCTAATACAAGGTAACTATTATAACAATGTAATCTGCGAAGTCCCAGAAACCGTGTTGTAATAGTGTTTCACTGTATACAGCTCTGGCCACCCCCGTGCGAACAAATTCACAGACCTCTTGCACACCTGATTTCCGTTAACTTGCACAACAAAAAACGTGTACATATGACTCTTGACAAACAACGTTATTATACACAAGAATTTATTTTTGACACATTTGACTTTTCTTCTATTAAATTCAATATTAGTAATTCGAATTAGTGTTACATCCGCCATAGATGAATGGCATATTTTCCAGTCCTTGCGTGCATAACATTCCTATTGCTTTAGCATTGTGACACGTTCTCTTATAAACCTGGGTGTGTCGACGTCGCAGCGGAGCTTTACTTTCCACGAGGGGCGTATCATCTGCTGCCGCTCTCCAGCTTTCTACCGATCGTCAGCGGCTCGCATGGCCCACGCCCAAGGGGCCGTGATACGGTCAAGACAAGCTAAGATCAAGTCGCTTCAAGCCTGAGCTCCGGCTTTCATTCCTGTGAAGCCCGCTCAAGACAGAGACCAGCCGCTCATCACCGTCCATCAAGACCATGACGGTCAGCCTGGATGACCACCATTTCCCGCTTGGGACCCAATACCGACCACGGTGACTGTACCAGGCTCCCATCGCAACGCGACGCCCCTCCACACATTTCAGTTAGACACCGGTATCCCTTTTATTATTCCATGCATTTATGATTGTATAATTTGTCCTTTGTAAATAGAATACTTTTGTTGGTTTTTCGAAAGATCAGTTTAATTTTGATTAAGTTAACCTTTGTCTCCGCTGTCCTTCCTTTGTGAGTTCTGTTTTTTAACAATTGGTCAATTAAGTACCTTTTCAAGAATGTGATTCGTTGACACAATCACTTATGTAAAATAAATACGTAAGCATAGCTGACGAGCGAGTACCATCGGCAAGGAGTAAAGGACACTGTATGCGTTTTAACAGCTGCAGTATATGTTGATTGTAGAGCCTTGCAACTGAACATAGCACCAAACACTCTCCTGGGAGTTTTCTCTAAAAATAATCTAGATGCAATCCATCTGCTGCTTGGACACTGTATGGATTTTAACAGCTGCAGTATATGTTGATGGTAGCGCCTTGCCACTGAACATAGCACCAAACACTCTCCTGGGAGTTTTCTCTAAAAATAATCTAGATGCAATACATCTGCTGCTGGGACACTGTATGGATTTTAACAGCTGCAGTATATGTTGATGGTAGCGCCTTGCCACTGAACATAGCACCAAACACTCTCCTGGGAGTTTGCTCTAAAACTAATTTGGATGCAAAACATCTGCTGCTGTTCTGTGCAGTAACAGTACATGTACATGGCAAAGCGTGATCGCTCCTGTTTACCTGCTTAAGTTGTGTGGTGCACTCAACCCCGCTCACTTGATGAATATTAAATGCAGGCTATAAGTTTTCATTTGAATGCATACAAACCCACAGCATCTCTACGTATCCCCTGTAAAAATGGCCTACAAGTGTACATCTCTCTAAATGGTGAGAAGACATACTGTAGCCACAACTAAAATCTTTCGGTTTTAACTATAAAAATAATCTTATACTATACTGCATAGATATCTAAAATAGGTAGTTTTCCTGATAAACAAATTTCCTTCAAATTTTTGCCAAAATTGGACCAAATTAAAAATTCAGTATGAGTTAATCAGCCCACAGACTACAAACATTGCATGATAAAATATTTTAAATTAAACAAAGATTTTTGTGAAAGATTCTTCTTTGGGTTCTTAGGAAATTTATGCAATATGATAAAGGATAAAAATATTCTTGTGGAACTGCAGCAAGAACTTCTGAGCTAGTCCTGTATAATGCAGGAGAGATTACTGAGTTGCTTAAGACAGAGTGCAAATAAAATTCTATCAAATGGGTGTGAAAGTAAGAGTATTTAATGTCCAATCATTAACCGGACTTCAATTTATGCAAATTCATGAAGACTAATCTAGTGCAGCCAATTAGATAACATTAACAGTTGTCCTACCCTCAAGTTGTAGGCACCATCCAGGTATTCAAACCTTAACACTCAATACACATCTGATGTAGCATGTACATATTGTTTGTAACGTGTCGGTTTGAATAAATGATAAAGTCATCAGTCGTCAGCAACCAAAACATTCACCTCAGGAGCCGTAAGCTTTGATCAAGAATCAATATTTGCCTCTACAGCCAACTTTTCATGGAGTCTAGGTCGATGTTACCTCCACACAAGATGATCCCCACATTCTTAATGTCTGGGAACGCGGCTTTGAATTTGTCTGACATCACGGCAGCCACGCCCACCCCCGCTGAGGGCTCAATACACAGCTTCATACACTGCCACACCAGCTTAGTACTTTCCTGCAGGGGTTACAAACAACACAATGTTCATTAGGCCCCCCTAAAAATAGTCTGTCTCTGGTCAGCGTGTGTTTTTTTCCATTTTTTCTCAAAAGTCCGAAGGGCAATTTGTTCAAGGAACGTGACTTATTCATGGGTAGCTTGTACCCGGTGGCAGTTCTGTTACGACTGCGTAATATTGATGTCGAACACGAACAGTAGACGATGGGTAGGTTACAAAGTTGCAGCCAGCTGATCAACAATGATGGCGGCATGACATGCGACCTGCTACTACCAGCCTTTGCTCTTTGATTAAATATGCCACTCATTTCCGTGTCTGTTGACAGTCTCAAAAGCCACCCTCTCCCTCGAAAAAAACTTTGGTCTGACCAGAGACCGAGTTTGTTTTTTTTTTTTGCCCTATTAATGGTTGTAAACTGCCAATGTAACTCTGAAATACAACACAGATTATTTTCTCCCCTTTTTTTTAAAACCTCAATTCAGGGACCCTGCGGCAGTTTGAGAGTGAATTCTGTGAGTCCACTACACCTCATTATTTGACACCTATAAACCAGACGAAAGTCTGTACTCTTCCTTTAATGGTCTTCACTATTTCAAATCTTAACTCGGTCTTCTTTACATGATTTCAGCTAGTCCTTTCATTACTAATGGAGAACTTAGCGGGTCATTAGAATTGAGTACAGGCGGAAGTTCCACAGCCTGTGAAAAGATATGAGCAGAAGAGGACAAAACTGTTCAGTGACAGGGCACTTTGGAATAAAAAAATCTGATAACACCTCACAGTGAGTACTTGTCGGTCAGGATGGAATTCAAACCTGGGTCGTGTAAGACGACAGTAATCTCAGTACCCTCGTGCCAACCTGAAAAAGCATTGGATATAAAAAGGTCTGTTATATGTCACCTTAATTTCATCCTCCGTCACAGTGATGACGTCATCAACCAGGTCTCGCACGATTGGCCAGGCTACATCGCCCACCGAAACTCTCAAGCCGTCAGCGATCGTGTCTGGATAGTGATCAAGTCGGATGTGTCTCTTGGCCTTCATGGACTGGTAAAGGTCATCTGCCAACTCCGGCTCAGCTGCGATCACTTTGATCTCCGGCTGCAATGTCTGTCAAAGAAGTTAATCAAATTCAAGAAACAGACTGATGATGTGGTTTTTTCTGACAAGATTGTCTCTGTCACAAGAGGGAGTGGCACCTTGTCCCCCTGCCCCACGCCGGATGGGACAGCCAGTGTTCCTGAAGTCACATGGGAGCAACTATGACGGTGGGAGGTTTCATCACATTTGTTCAAATTATTATTATAATTATTATTATTTATTTCTGGCAATGACACCAGGGATCCTCAAAAGTGCCCTAAGCACTGTAGCTCACAAGCCTGAAGAAACCTGTAGAGAGGAGACAGTGAGAAGCAGTTACAGTAGAGGTGGGAGGAAAACCCCAGAGGAATATTCTGGGTAAAACCCATGAAATCAGGTAAGGACTGAAAACCCATTCCATATGTGGACCGAGCCAGGAATCGAACCCAAACCCAGAGGTGGAAGGCAAGGAAAGGACCACCACGCCACCCTGACTCACTGACTTTGAAACAATGACCTGTGATTGGTTGGTGGTTGATTTCTGATGACAAGAGTTGTAACCTAATGTTGTAACCAACTCTCTTGTTAGTCCCTGCAAGTCCATCATTCATCCTCACAAGTCATTCAGTATGGCCAAGTTACACAGTTACTCATGATTGGTCTTGAGAAGGACTTGTGAAGGGCCTTGTAATGGGATCAGCTACAACAGTGTTGGTTCTCACACCTCTAGAGTATGCCTATGGAATGACATCCATCCTATATTTGGCCCCAGCCTCATCTACAAGACAAGGAAACATGATCACACACCTTCGCTGCTATGAGAATCCCTGAAATCATTCCTCCTCCTGCTACTGGAACAATCACCGCATCCAGCTTCTTATCAACCTTAGAAGGAAAAAGGAAACTGCCATGTGAAGAAAAACTAGACAACAGAAAGGTAGACTGACAACACTTACAATCCATGAGACAATTAGACTGGTAACCTAAGCCCAAGTAGTGTCGATGGAAAAAAATGCCTTCTCTTGGGAACTGTGATAAGCCCAATAAGGAGGGACAATGATGTAGTGCCTTCTGGTGCCACAATTGATGGACATGCATACGTCATGAACACATCTTGCACACGTCAGCATAAATTTCGCCCCATGCTAGATTTCCTCTGATAAGTAGTTCACTTCCTGGACTGTGTTCGTGTTGTACGGGTATTGTTAGCCTGTGCATAATGGCAGTGTATTATCCAACAGAGTGCAGTCTCGCATACAGAATCTGGATCCCGAACACAGTCCAGACCATTTGCTCGACTTCCTCGGAAATTTGTACTCAGTGGTTCACACATGAATAGCTACCCTCGTTGTGACAATGGTCCCACTGAACAGTCCCACTGTTGGATCTTGTGGTGGCCGGCAACCACAGACTCCCAAGCCATTTGGCCTCGGTTGATCCAGGTTGCCAGGCCATTTGGCAACCTGGGTCTTGTTGCAGTGGGCAGGCAAAACAATCTGACAATTATTGCTGCGTGATATGTTCAGCAGGGTTTCTAACCAAAATACCCCGGAGAGGCAGGGCTTACGTCCGAAGCACTGTTGATATATCAATATTATCAATATGGGTTTGATGTCGATATCACCGATGTTAGTTATTTGGTAATATCGATACATCAAGAAAATCGAAACTTTGAAAACATTGATATTGAAAATGTATCGAAAATATCGCTCCCGAGGATCAAATTTATTGAGAAATACAAAAGTGCATTGTCACATTACTGTAATGTTGGTTCTCATGCCGAGTGAAAAATGGCCCTGTAGCTTATATTCTGGGCAGCATATACGGCGACATTTGAAGAATAAATTCAGTCACTTATCTTAGTCTCGCACTCAATAATTTGCATACACATTGCCTCGAAAATATCACAAAATTTATCCTCCAAAACAGAGAATCATTTGCTAACCAAACGTACGTAGACTAGCACAACGTGCTGATGATATCGCTATGCACAGCAGGGTATGAATTTATGTGTCCCATCCCATGTAGGCAACATACGCAATGCAAGCGTCAGGAAATTTCAACAAAGTGAATCGGATCACACCATTACAGTGTAGGGGTGTACCCTTAAACCATTTGCCAGTAATTCACACCTGTTATAATACTTCAAAAATTAAAATAAATAAAATTTTATATATCAATAATATCGATATAAAAAAGGGATATTTTGTTATTGGCCAAAATATGATAGACAGTGTCTATAATGTCCCCTCTGGCAAATGATAATCAGTCATCTGGGATGAAAAAAAGGTGACTTTCAACCGATTTACAGATGTATCTATGAATACTAATTGATAATTGCTTTTTATAATAACACTTTCTCTGGTTGTTTGGTATTTATGGTTCATCCATTGAGGTGATTAAGACGAACTGCTCACTTGTTCAAACATCTCCAAGAACATGGTTCCTTGCCCTGCCATGATGTCATGGTGTTGTGAGGAAGGTGCGTATATAGCCCCTGTCGACTTGACAACCTCATCTTTGGCTGCTATACGACCCTGAAATATGGAGGAAAAAAATCAATTTTAAGAAATAAAATATACACAACAGATGGGCCAAATGCGACAACTAAAATAGATGCAGCTCACACAAGACTTCTATTCATGTTTTGGGCTGTTTTGATGACTGACATGCAATGCACTCAACCATCTGCTCCATAGAGAGTTAAGAGATGGCATACTTCTAACATGATGATCCTGTAGTAGGAACTCATGTGCACCTTGGGCAAGATGCACTGAGCATGTGCAACCAGACTTCGGTCAAACTATGGTTAACTACAGTTGTCGTTCAAACCTGATCTTTTTGGGTTCTCAGTCTCGTTCCCTGCCACAGGGAACCACATATAAACACATACAACCAACCTGTTCAGTCGGTGTACACAGTATAAGTTCTGCTCCGTACTCTTTCACGGCATCCTGTTTACACAGTGGGGCAATGCTAGGCATGACCACGTAGGCCTTGAAATTCAGCAGACTTGAAGCAAGAGCCAATGCCTGGGCAAAGTTGCCACTGCTGTGGGTAGTGACGCAGGGAAGGGACCCGTCCTTTGACTTCTCAGCGAGTTTTGATAAGAAGTTCAACGCTCCGCGGAACTTGCAAGAATAAAGGGGACAAAGTTGTGTTTTTTTACTTAGAATTACAAAACTGGTAAAATGTACATATGCAATGGCAAATTCAGAGGCAGGGCTTTGGAAAGGGACAGAGATTTCGAAGCAACTCAAGATCCCCAGTGGTACCTTCTGTTTGCACGACAGGTTGGCATTCTATCACCGTACATGTATAATGTTCCACCTGAAGCACTGAACGCTTAGGTGAGATCACAAGGATAAATTTATGCATGAAAAATTCACTGCGGATCACTAGAGTTGGATTTGGACTTCATACATGCATTCTGCTCACAAATGAGCACATCTGCAGACTGTTCCCAGATTCATCAGATTCTAGACTTAACTTTTTTAACCAGACATCTACACAATAAAACAAGACTGGGTACCATTGATAATGACAAGAGGGAAAATACAAAATAAAACATTACCAGAAGAATATATGTACACCAAGCCCTGACGAAGGTCCAGTTGGGCCAAAAATTTGGTACCTAGGCACCTCATCTTCTGGTGAGCACTATGTTATTTCATATTTCCCCCATTTACATGTACATGTGATCAGGAAACAAATGCAACTTCATTCAAACAACCTGGCCAATGTTGAAGAGAAAGTATCAACTTTACTTTAAACGATCCGGTTCGCTGAAACAGCTCACACTTGAAGAACAGCTTGCAACCGGCCTTAGCATCCATGCGACGCGACGTCATCACTGGGGTCCTAGAGATATAGCTCTTGATGCGCTGCTCGGCTCGCCGAACGTCATCAATGGTCAATTCGTGGTCTGTCAGACCCATGAT